GCTCTTGCAAACTACTGTACATTTTTAAAAGGCTGCACAAACAGCCTGTCTAATCCTAATTGATATAAAATAACCACCCTATCCAACTTTAATACACATTTTGTCCCTACAGCCATTCAATGAAAATCCACTGAAGCTATTAGTACTCTTCTTATGAGACTTTATGTGGCTCTTTACAAACATGAAGCAAACACACTATAACACTGACATTTTTGCACTTCTAGCATAATAAATAAAATTACACTCCCTTTTTTCCTTCTAGGGAGCTTTCCATCTTTTTCAGATGATATCACAAGTAAAACACCTCATGGCAGGTAATATATGATGATTATTCCTATTTTCCAGATAAGGAAACAGAAGCATAAGTTGGTTAAGGACTACATTTTTAAAAGTGAGCATCACTCTTTTTGGGAGCCCAGCTGGAGCCACTAAGGACCAGATTATTAAAGGCAGTAGGTATCTGGGGGGATTTTCAAAAGTGCCTTGAAATAAATGGGAGTTAGGCAGCTGCATGTTTTGAAGATCCTTAGTAGTGGGTTACTTTTTGTTTGTGTATTATTGCTGTGGTAATACAAATAATAATAATCGAGCAGCCCATGTAATGGACCAGATCCCCATTGTGCTAAGGGGACCCAAGATAATCCTTGCCCCCCAAACATCTTACAATCTACATGCCTAAATACTAGGGTTGCTAGGTGTCCGGTTTTGGACCGGAATGCCCAGTCGAAAAGGGATCTGGGTGGCTCCGGTCAGCACTGTTGACCAGGCTGTTAAAAGTCCGGTGAGCTGTGCAGCGGGGGCCTGAGGCTAAGGCAGGCTCCCTACCTGCCCTAGCTCCACGCGGCTCCTGGAAGCGGCTGCCAAGTCCCTGCAGCCTTTAGACTAATGGGCAGCCAGGGGGGCTCCGCGCACGGCTCCCGCCCAAAGTTCCAGCTCCACAGCTCCCACTGGCTGGGAACCACAACCTGGGCCGTCCTTAGGATTTATGAGGCCCTACGCAGTATTATGAAACTGGTGCCCCTATGCCTGACTTGGGACACAGCCACCACTCCCGCCCGAAGACCCCCAGAAGAATCCCCCCCATTGTTGACCCACACTGAGCTTCACACACAGCAGACACTGTGGCAGCCCAGGCTTGTAGCCCAGGGCGGAGGAGTGACGAGGCAGCAAAGGATACCGAGCCCTCCGGCCAGCCTCACAGCAGCGGAGAGTCACAGTTCCCCACAGAGACCCCCGTACCTTCTCCCTCACGCAGAATGTGCCGCGCCGGCACATTAGGCTCTGTGAATATGGCCCCTGCCTAGGAGACTGCAGTGTGTGCTGGGTGTGTGGAAGCTGACCCGCTCTTATTTGCTCCCCCAGTGGTGCCCCAAATTTTCAGATGTCCTACCCCAGAGCCCACACTCTAACCCTCTGCCCCAGCCTGGTGAAAGTGAGTGAGGTGGGGGGATGTAGTGGGCGTGGGCAGGGCCTCAGAGAATGGACAGAGCAGGGGCAGGAGTGTTGGGTTTTGTGCAATTAGAAAGTTGGCAACCCTACTAAATGCCTTTTAAAAATCTGGCCCTCTGGGGCTGAGTACCCCCCCCCAACTGATACCTATGAGAGCTGCAGGTTGCTGATGCAAAACCCATTGAAATCAATTGAAATATTTCTCTTGACTTCATGGTGCTTTGGATCAGTTCTATGCACTGAGCACCTCTGACACTCAGGCCCTGGGTGTTCCAAAATGGCACCCAGCAACTGCGGCACCCAAACTCTGAGGACCCATTTCAAAATTTAAATCTGCTGCTGCGCACACTTTTACGCTTGGAAATTTTCCCCTTGGAAGTCAGTAAGCAACGACACCCCCAGGTGAAGCTGAATAGGTGCTTAAGGGGTCCGAAGGTAGTGGGTTATCTCAGGGGATTCCTGAGTGCCAAGCCCAAGGTCACGCACGTGGAGAGAGTGACACAGAGTAAGAGCCTAGATCTTCTAGGTCCTACTCAGATGCTCTGACCACAAGATGCATCATCCTTCCTTTCTGTTACTGACCCAGCAGAGCAACGTGGAAAAAAGGAGCTTGGCCCTTCACAGCAAGCACCCTGTGGAATGAGCACCATGACAATTAATGGAACTACTGCAATGTTTTTTTTCAACAATCAAATAATCTAGGGCCATCTGGTGTGTGGTGTCTGGAGTCTAGGCTGGTGGCCGAGGTGGGGCCCGACCCTGCACCCCCCTGCTCACAGGTATGGCTTATGCTGGTGAGTAAGAGCCTGCAGGAGCGGACCTGTTGGGGGCAAGAGCTGTGTCCGCCTCCAGGCCTATGCAGCGCCAGCAGCTGCCTTGAGCAAATAAGATCAAGGCTCCAAAGAGCCCCAAGGCGGGTCGGTTCCCGCACCCCGGTGTGAGTGGCAGCCAGGCACAGCGGGGCTGGTCCTGCAGCGGGGCGCGGCCCCTTTAAGGCGCGGAGCAGCAGAGAGCCCCGCGCTGCGTGTGGCGGTGGGGCCGAGGGGGGAGCAGCAGCGGCGGCGCGGTGCGTGTGTCAGCGCGGCTGGCACCGGCATTGTTCCCTGACGTCACTCCGCCAGCCCTGCCGCCGCGGCTGCGGCTGCCGCTGCTCTCAAACTTGTCTTTGTTATTCAGCGCTCTCCGGCTGACACGGCGGCTGCCTGCAAAACGCGGCGCCCGGAGTGGCCCCGCAGCACCTGGACGGGAGCTTCCTCCACGCACGCTGCTCCCCGTTACCACAGCGCGGGCCTCTAGCAACATGCCGCTCGTTTCCCCCCGCGGGGGCCCTCCGGATCTCCCCGCCTGTTGTACGTTGCAATAGCGCCGAGCTCTGCGCCCCGTATTTCTTCCCAAGTTTCCCTAGCTATAGAGGGGACCTGCTGGCGGGGATTTATTATTTACACAGCTGCATGTGGCTGGCGCTTTGCAGGCGCGTCAGGAGACACAGTCCCTGGCCGAAGGCGCTCGCTCTGTGCATTAAAGGCTCTCTACGCCGTCTGGTTGGTCTGCTGCAAACACGGTCAGAGGGGTAAGGGGAGGCAGAAAGCACACTGGGTTGGGATCAGGGGAAAGCACTAAGACCCTTCCTTCGGTGGGGTAAATTTGGGAGAGGAACGTGGGAAAAGCAGCGAGGAGCTCAGGTGAGGTTACTTTGGGGAAACAGGAAAAAAAAACCACTCAGGGACTGATCAAAAGCCCCCCGAAGTTAATGCCCAGGCTTCCACTGACCTCAATGATGGACTTTGGCTCAGGTCTTGACAGCATTAGTTAAAGTGAAATGAAAAGCAGGGAGAAGAACACTAGGTTAGACGGATTTTGGTGGGGGCGGGAGAAGATGGGGCTGCACTTTTTGAGAGTTAATAACAGCAACAAGAACATGAGGAGGTTAAATTTTGGTTTGATGAGGGATTTATGTATTAGGAAGCAGGCTGGAGAAGAGAAGGCGGCAGTTAAGGGTATGACCCCTCCCCTACCAATCAACCCTGAATTCCTGCTCGCCCTTCTCCTTACAGACAAAACACCCCCGTAAATAAGCACCACTGAAATGGGTTAGGGAAACAATTGCAGTCGTTAGTCGGCATAAGTGCAAAAGTGTTTCCACAGTAAATAGTGCAATGTGAATAGAGTGCAGTTTGATAAAAACGTAGTCCCTCCCCCTTCTAGTAACCCGACATCCTTTAAATACTAGATCTCTTTCTCCTCCTCCAACAACAAAATAAATCCGAGCCGATGAAGAGCTCTATGGCACTGTTTAAATTGCTTATCTTAATTGCATAATCTAACAAACCCCATTGGAACCGGAATGAATATATTAGGCTTATTAACAACTCATCATAAAATATTGATTGTCCTGGAAGTGTTTTGTCGGGGGAGTTGTATTTAGAGGATTGGTGCTGCTAATAACAAGAAATTGTCCTTGTCTTTTCTTATTGAAAATCACGCTGGATTTGCTCTTTTTTAAAAAAACAACAACAAAACAACAACTCACCCTCTATTATTTTTGCTATTCGATTGATCCGCCTAGCAGTAAGGTCTGAGAGCCCATCTTAAGGCCCCGAGATTTGCAGTGACATGGTCAAAAAGTGGGGAGGACAACTCATTGAACTGATGGCAAGGAACACGATCAAACTTTGAGGGACAATTGGACACCCGCATCCGGAGTAGTTGCATTTAAAATAAAAAACAGCCCCTCCTCTTTTTTTCTGTTTTCCCCTCCCTCTTCCCTAAGCCGTCCTTCTTGGGAGAAGCTTGTGCGTGTAGTGATACCGCCACTCCTCTTCGGGCTGGAGATTGTTAGTTGGGGCTGCTACTGGCAGTCAGAAAGCTCTCCTAAGGAACGATTCTATTCTCTTGCTAACCCTCGAAAAGCTTCTCTCCTTCCCCACCAGAACAGAGAGTCTTTTCTCCGTGGGGCTAGGAGGGGAATCCAGCGCTCCTCTCTATCGGTTCCTTTATCCCTTCCTTCCTGAATCATTAGTGCTGCTCGCCTTGAAAATAAAACCCCACAGAGCTAATGTAAAGTGAAACGCATCAAAAAGGCAAAGAGCTTGAACCTTGCAACCAGCCATTGAGTAGTCTGTCTCCTCCACCCAGTCTTTCTCCAAATCCGGGCAAAAATCCCCGTTGAGGAGAACATAAACTGGGGCAGCATTGCACGCTTTTAATTACATAAATTCCAGAGTGGGGATCCCCCCTCTTCAGCAATATCAAAACGCAGAGGGGAGGATAGTCCCATGCGTTCACTCTCTAATCTGGGATGGTTTGCACTGCACACTATTCACTAGGATTAAGAGGAAGTTTGTGGGTTTTTTTTAAATCGTGTAAAATAATATTTTCATTTTTAACTTTATGGGATGCGGGGAGGGAAGAGAGGGGGCGAGAATAGAGAGCGAGGGACAGAACATCCCTACAGGAGGCAGCTCCCTTTCAGATAGGAATCTGGGACAGATTTTGCCAACAGCCACAAAGCATGGCCCTTTGGTAATAGAATAGCCAATGTAATTTGACACTTCAACTTGCTGTGCTCTCTGCTAGTTGATTCACTTACTCACCCACTAACATTGAGCTCCTTTTCACTGTCTGTATAGGGGGGGGAGCAGGAGAGAGAAACCGCTTTTAAATGAAAAATATTTTAAAAGCACCTGAACAGAGCTGCCAATCAGCTGGGGAAAGAGGATTTTTGCTGCCTGCTTCCTTATTATATTTCTTACTGCAAGCCTGCTGTGCAATCTAGGTAAGTTTCGTGTCTATTTCAGTCTTACGTTCACACCTCCCTGTGTTTGTGACCGGGCAAGGATTGTGTCTTGAATGAGGCGAAACAATGGAGTAACCAAGCTAAGGAAATATATATATGTATATATATATATATAGAGAGAGAGAGAGAGAACATTTGTTTTTTATAAGATAAGAAAATGTGTGAAGACTTCTTAAAGGGACAGGTTGTATCTGTGTGTCTGGAAAAGGAGGAGAGGAGAAGGGGGAATGAGACAGAAAAAGAAAACAGGAGATCCAGCGGAAAAGGAAATTCCTTGCCTTTTTGTGATTGTAGCGAATAGAGATTAAGGAGCCAGAGTGTTTTATATTATGTGGGTGTGGGGCTCGGATCACTCCCCCAACCCCTTTGAGCTGGGGAGTGAAGGGGCTAGTGTTGGGGAAATAGGTGTCTTGTGTGAAGTGACTGTAAAAGGAGGAATCCTTGAAAATTATAGCAGAAGGGGAAAGGATCTTTCGTGTTGTAGATCTAAGTTTTAAAAGCTGAAACAATGAGGCGAATTAGGCATGCCTGAGAGAAAGAGAGCGAGCGATCTTGTGCCATAAAAACAAAGGAGGTTTTAAAATAATCCGGATAGCTTCTGTTTTCTGGCCAGTTTACCTTTCCTGACTGCTCCGGTTGTGCACCGACAGGCTCGTAGTCAATCGAGCTGGCACTGAAGAATCTTTGGGGGTAAGGGGTGGGGAGAGGACGGTTGCAATAGCAAAGTATTTTTTCGGGGGGAGGGAGAAAGCGTGTGTGTGTGGAGGGGGGATCGGGCATGTTTTCCGGGCTTTGGGAAGCTTGCCTGAGTGTAAATTCCTTGTGTCTGGGTTTTGAAAGCCAGTTGGGACTGGGGCCTCTCTCAATCACTAGGCAGGAGTAGTCTCTCTCTCTCTCTCTCCTGTGTACATCTGTCCAGGAAGCTGGGGGGGGGGGGGGGGGGAGGGGGCCGATTGAAAGAACCCAGCTCCTGCTTTCTTGCCATTGTGAAAAGAAAAAGGAGGGAATCGTTTTCACGGGAGACTGGTTGAGCTAGCTGCAGTAAAAGGGAGAATGCCAGCCAGTTAAAAGACACTTAAGGAATGTAAACATAAAAATAGGAGCCATCTAGTCATGCTGTATTCCTTGCTCTAATCATCTGGGATGGGGTTCTCCAGGTTGATTTTCTGGTGGGGGTGGGGGAGTGGAGATGTAAAAGGAGGAACGGGGAAGTTGTTACTATACCCATTTTTCTACACTGCAAACTTTTGTTTTACACGTGTATAGTTTAATTTCAATCCTACTTTGGAGTCTGTGGTGGAAAGCATAAGACTAGTTTTTTGAGTTAAGTTCCATCTGTAACTGCAGACCTCATTCATATGCTTAATAAAACTGACGTGTATAATGGCGAAAACATAACAAATTGCTCTGATTGTGGGTCTTACTAACTGGTCCAGGCAGCTGGACTGAGAATTAGAAACTACCACATATAGGTAATTTATTGAGACTGAAGATAATTCTAAGCAATAGCCCTGCATTACTGTCTGATTGTGCAGAGTGTATATTCTTTTTGCTTCAGTTAATAATCTGCAAACGGCTTAATGGCTCTGTGTAGTGACAGAGGAATTGGTTTTCTCCATTTACTTCAGCAGGCCTGAGTGAAGCTGGTATTCTGACTGCTTTTTTCAATGCATTGACATGAGGGAGGAGGATTTAACTTGGCAGCCTGAACAAATGCTCTATCAAAGGTTTCCTAAGAGACAGTAAGAGAGTCGGTGGGAGATGAATGACCTGGAGTAGTTTTAGGGTGCTACCTATGCAAGCTTTCTTTTAAATATGAAATGGCCATTTAGAACCCTGAATAGAACTGTGTGCATCAGAAAGGCAACAGGCTTATAAAATTTAAAAGGGCAAAAGCCCATTAATGCTTTGGCAAAGCTCTGGCTCTGGCCTCTGGTTGAGTAGTTCCAACTGCCTTGAAGTGCCAGAGCTTTTAAGGAATCTTTAGCAACAGCTTCTCTATAGCTGCAATATGGAACTTGGCCTTGTAAATTGGAAGGTTAATGATGCAGTCTCCTCCTCTCCAGACAGGAGAATGGGGGGTGGGTATAGGATATGGATGCAAAGGTAAAAAAAAAAAAAAAAAGCCCCATGATAAATGATTAGGCAGGGCTCTTGCTAATGAAAGACTATTCCAGCTATAATACTTGTGCAATAATTTTGCACTGTGGCAAAAGTTCTAACCCGAAATTAATATACAGGCAACCGAGGAAAAGTTTGACAAAGAGGTTCAGCAAAATTATACACTTAGAACTACTAACAGTCTTTGGGAGAATTAGGCTTAATCTAGCAGACAACAGAGTTGGTCTCTGCCTCAAACTTGCACCCCCTTCTTTTGATCGAGGGAAGTTTACTATGGCATCAATCTTCTCTTGGCGGGGCCTGATTCAGGTTTATGAATGCCAGAAGACTTGCGCTGACCTTTTTCTGTTCAAGTCGAGGATGTTGAAACACCAGCCATCAAACAAAAGACACATTGAAAGCAAGATCTGCAATAGAGCACGTGTGACTTTGAGGCTGGTTGAGTGCATTTGGTGACACTGTTTTCTTCTGAGTTCGGGTGGGAGTTGGGGAGATAAAAGGCCATTTATTAAAATGAGATTGTGGAAAAAAATGACTTAAAATAATGTTAACACCCCGAATTAGAGGACACAATTTTGCTTTTGTTAAAAATCATTACATTTTTAGTTTCTTCAAAATTCTGAGGCTAAGGAAGGAGACTACAATGTTTTCCTCCTGAGTGCAAAAATGATATGAATTTTGAAGTATCTAGCCTGTATATTTTTAAAAAAAATAAAAATTGTTTTAAGGAACAAGAGAACTGAAATTCTAGAACTGCCTTTTTAGGATGTAAAAAGAAGAACAAAATAAAAAAATTGCTCAGGATTTAATTGCTGGATCTGTGGTTTTGCCCTATATTAAAAGTAGTTCTTGTCTACTTTGTAGGCTAAGCTTAAAGGAGATTTTATTTTCATTTAAAAATAAAAAACAGAGCCAGTGAATTTAGTATTTCATTTGTCTGTCTCATGCATGTCAACATGAATGGATGCTTTCATTGTTTACAGCGGCTAAGGTCCACAACACCTTAAATAAAATGTAATGTTTTCAAAAATTGAGTCTATGGCAAAGGCACAGTTAAAACTTTGTTGGGGAAAGAACCATGTTGCCGGACATCTATACCGTGCATGTTTTGAAGCGTCTGAAATCATGAAAACTGGATATGAGTGTGGTGTAGAACTTTGTTTTCCAAAATATTGTACCACTCAAAAGATAATAGTTATTTTTTCCTGTTACTTAAAGGACTTTTTTTAATACTCAGAAAGGTTTACAAGGAGTTGAAGTGATGGAATTCTAGGTACCATATGTTTCCATTCATAACTTTTCTCGGGAGTTGCCTGCCCTTTTCCCTATATCTCTTCCACTTTTTATAGGTTCCAAACTCATGGATGGTAATTACATCAGTGACACTACAGTTGATTCAAAGTTGGCTGGTCCCTAGCAACTTGACATGTGTGTTATCTGCCAGGAAAGCTTGGTTTCTCACTGTAAACTGGAAAAACTGACAAGTTTGTTAATTTGGTTTTTTGTTTTGCCTTCTCTCTTGCTAACATGTGCCCTAGCATTTGGAGGCAACAGGCGCCGTGTATTTCCAAGTTACCCGGAGTACAGTGTGTCTTGAGGAGTGAACATAAGGGTGGCCCAGGATCCACTAGTTTTTGGCCATCATGGCATAACAACTTGGGGAATCAAACAGTGCAGAGAGTAATCTAGTTATTGTTCTACCTGTAAAATCTGTTTTATACATACCTGGGACTGCAATTGGTGCCTGTGGTAGCGAATCTGACCACTGTGCAATTGACTAATTTGTTTTCTCCTAGTTATACCAATTTCTTTGAAATCCTATACAGTATTACTGTAAAGACATGGAGAGAATATTGCTGCAGAGTTGAGAATTGGTTTATGATTGCACTCATCAGCTACTGTGCTGACAAGACTTCTTTATCCATTTAAGATGTTGGTTTGTTTTTTAAAGAGGAAGCATATTTCATCAAGATGTAGTACAAAGCAAATATGCATGGGGTATATCCAGTAGTTCAATATGGTAGGAGCATTTTGTTGTTTCACTGATCTTTGTGTGAATCTGAACTTCTCTGCTGACATAAGGCTAGGAAGTGTTAGTGGAGCTAGGAATAATTTATTCTTCAAATGGGTGTCTTTTTGGTTTAAAAACAAAAGGTTTGCAAATCCAAGTGTTACTTTGTCATATTGATTTTATTCCTCTCTCTTCCCCCAAAGCAAAAACTTCTTATTTAGCAATTTTTTTTGTTTACATTGGATTTTATAGAACAATCTGCATTTAGGTTGGTTAATTTTAGGAGGTTTTTAAAGGGGTTGTAGGTTGCAAGAGAAATGTCCAGGTGAGGAGGTATAATGGATCATCCTAGTTTGACTGTTGGAGGCAGTAGTGTATTATGAGAGTAGATAGAGATGGTCTTAGGCTTGGTCATGTGATGCTTTGTTTCTAATAGGTTGAGATGCATTGAAAATGGAGTGGTTTTTACTCCTTGCAAATGTTGGGCTCTGATTATATGAGCACAGTGGTACAACTTTCTCCCAAGGAGAGAAGGAAGAAAAATATTGTAGACAGTACTTTTTGAGTGGAAGAGAGAAAACTGTCTTGTATAGGTCCGTAGTCTGCCTAGCTGAATTATCCAGCCCATGGTAATATAAATTAACTTTAATCAGAGGGAACAACCCAAATCTGCAAGGAACATACCCCTCTGCGTAACTCAGAAATGTTCATTTGATTCAAGCTGTCTTATGTTCGCATCAGCTGAGATAATTATACCTTTCAAACCTGCATATGGGGTAAAAACAGTAGCTTATATTCCTATCATTCAATTCTGGAACAGCTGGCTCCAATTGTTTCTGAGGTGAGG